TTAAAGTCATTTGCCCATTTTGTGAAGGCTGGCTTGGTTAGCACTCTTTCTTACAATCTTCATAATTTTGGTTGTAGCTTAGAGTTAGCCAGAGAAGACTGTGCCCATATAAGGGGCAACCCATTGTTGCAATGCACTGAAAGCCACTGACTGAATGAGGACACGTGTCAATGCCTCCCAGTTGTGTATGTCTCACTTTTTCTGCAGGAAATCTCCATGTGACCCACGACCACCTGACAAATGCATTAAGTGAAGCTGTCAGTATCAACTACTAGGTTCAGATTTATAGTAAATCTTCAGCCCTTTCTTATTTTTTTAGACAAAAATATTCATGAATATTCTCATTTCATCCACTCCAGAGGGTGTACACAACTCGACTTTGGAAAGCACTATACTAGAGAGGGTCTGGGGGCAAGATGACAATTTCATTACGGAGTCTCTGTGAAGTGACATTTAAGCTGAAACTCAAATAATGAGGTAGGAACAGCCATGCGAAGAAGGTGGCACAGGTGTATCAGTTAGGAAAACAGAGGCTCTCTGAGTATTGTGGGAATAAAGAATTTACTATAGGAATAACATCTTATACAGATGAGGAAGGATCTTTGGAAGCAAAAGTCTGGCAGAATATTTAAGGGGTTGGAGAAATATTCACCAATCAATCCTTCAGAAGTACTTCCAAGTATCTGGTGGAGGGTTTGGGACCATTGTTAGTCACAAGGCCAGCAGTCATGAAGATGAGGTAAACATGGAGGACTGCAAGGGCAAGCTGGAATCCCCTGGATACCACTGTGTCTGTCATTATATCTATTCAAGAGTAATGGTCATTCCCTCACTTCTGCCTTCCAAATCTCACGCCTCTTTGGTAAACTCTAACCTAGAACTACACAGGGAAGAGGATTCTGGAAAACAGAGTTCCCAGATTAACCAAGTTGATATAGCACAGCCCAGCACAACAGAGAATAGCATACACAAAGGCCTGGAGAAGGAAATGAACTCAGTGTACTTGAGAGACAAAAAGGTGAGGCTGAAGCTAGTATTCGAAGGGGAAGGATGGAGGGAGCATGGTCAGAAAGGCACACGAAGCCTAAACTCATATGGGGTTTTGTAGGCCCTGGTATGTTTGACTTAATTCTAAATTACAGGATTTTGAGCAAAGTGGTGGTATTCTATGAGTTATGCTTTGCAAGGATCATTCTAGCTGTCAGAACGGTAAGGAAGCAAGAGAAAAGTTGACCAAGAGAGACAGGAGGTAAAATAGGGAGGCTATTGTCATCTAGGAAATGGACAATGATGGTCTGGAATATGAGTATAAAAAACGTAGATACACAAAACTTGTCAAATGAGCTTTTGGTCTCATTTTTCCAACACATTTTTTTAGTCCTGGGAACATCTTTCCATGTATGAGATGTGGAACCCTCTGTTGCAAGGAAAGTGCAGCAGAGCTAAGAGGTCAGGGAAGGCTGGGACTGACATTGAGTACTTTCTATGCATCAGGTATATGCTGGGCCAGTTCCTCACAACAATCCTGAATAAGGAAACTGGTGTATAGGGAGATTAAACAGTATATTTGAACTGAGGTCACATAGCTAATAAGTGGTAGGCTTCTGATCTTAACCAAGATATCTCAGAATCCAGAATCTTAGCTCTTTTCACAGCATCCTGTAGTTTCTTAGGTTAAGGCCCTTGTGAGTAGTCATGTCCACCATCAGCAGCTGCTACCTGCCCAAACATCATACCTTTCTGGCCTCTCAAGTGTACTTCAAATGTACAAGGCTGATATCCGTTGTCCATTCTCAACCTTCTTAGTCCACACTGCATAATACCTCCAGCCTAAGTTTCCTGGGCCCTTTAAAGAAGTTATGTTTAGAGCTCCATCATAACTACTTGAGGCTTTATAATATTTCAATATATATACTTTCAGGATATGAAAAAGGGTTAGGACAGTTTTGGTTTCCTGGTTTATATCTCATTAGAATAGCATTAACTTTCAGGACTAGGAAATAAATTGCATTCTACATAACTCTTCAAAGTCAATGTTGTTATAAGGCATTGTTGCCATATTTTCCATAGAAGTTTTTCTTCTGTCTCCAAAGAGCTCTATAAAGGGTTTCCATGTCTTTATCTCAACTATAGCCTGACATGGAAACAAATGAAAAAGGACATCTAATAATTACTGTTAAACATGCAATGATTGAGGTGCATGTCCAAGATATTAAAAAAATCAGTATTTTGAGAGAGAGCGAGCATGCGCAAAAGCAGGGGAGGGGCAGAGAGAGAGGAAGAGAGAGAATCTGAAGCAGGTTCTGTGCTGTCATGCTGTCCTATGAACTGTGAGATCATAACCTGAGCCAAAACCAAGAGTCAAACGCTTAACTGAGCCACCCAGGTGCCCCAATCAGTATTTGTTTTCTGATCAATGGTCTATTTATTGATGCCCTTGCCTTTAAAGAAAGAAAATATTTCAAAGTACAAGGTATATATGCCAGAACTGCTTTGAACTTAGTAATTATTTGCTTAGAGAGTATACATATATATATAAATGATGAATGCTTATCACGTACATATATGTCATAGGTACTTAGTCAAAACATGTTGTCTCTGGTTGTTACACACTGTCCACTTTACCTGTGGGAACTGGGTCACAGACTCTCAAACTATGAAATGTTTAGAGTTTTCAGGGGTTTCATGGAAGGAGCTAAAGAGTTTCACAATTAGATATGATGCTGTTTGGGTGGGATCATCGCTGGGCAACACTAAAAATCACCTGCAGTGTAAGAAGTGACAAAATCTGGCAAAGTAGGTGTAAGTTTAAATTCTGGCCAAAGATGTCCTTTCCTACATAATTCACTGAACCTCCTCTTCAAGAGGGTTTCCAAGCCCTTTTGAGGCTAACTGGGCACCAGCCATGCCACCACTAACAGGATTTGGTACTCTCTCCAGCTCTTGGTTTTTTTATAAATTTTTTTTCAACGTTTTTTATTTATTTGTGGGACAGAGAGAAACAGAGCATGAACGGGGGAGGGGCAGAGAGAGAGAGGGAGACACAGCATCGGAAACAGGCTCCAGGCTCCGAGCCATCAGCCCAGAGCCTGACGCGGGGCTTGAACTCACGGACCGCGAGATCGTGAACTGGCTGAAGTCAGAGGCTTAACCGACTGTGCCACCCAGGTGCCCCAACTCTTGGTTTTTTAATACCCTTCCCCCTTTTTCATGAGAGCTGGCATGGCAATTGATAATCACAATACTTTACAAACTCTGAAATAGGTTAAACTGAGAATCAAATTTATATTTATCTAAAATGAGTTTTCAAAAGGAACTTGGTGGTTTTCTTGTCAGACATAGAGAACTGAGGCTTGTCCCGGGAATAGTATTAAAGGAATTTTTGTATGAGGTGGGTAAAAGTTGGACAGGAAAGCTCCTTCCTATTGTAAGATTCTGTGATACTCAGCATCCTGTATTATTTTATGAAAATAGTTCAGAATATCCGGTGTTTTAAGCATTTTTGTTTGTTCGAGAGGTGAAGTTAACATCCTGTCATAAAACAAGAATGTTGCATCAGTTCCTATTCCTGCAGTGACAATGGCATAAAGATAATGAGTAGAAGAGGTTACCAGGGGTTAGACATTATGGAGTAGCCAATATAGCCAGATCCTGCCCTGAGGAGGCAGTCTGGTTGCCCTCCTACTTGTAAAATTTGTAATTAAAAAATTATTCAAAACCTAGTTCATAGTATACTAGGCATGGTGACAGAATCAAGGAAATGAACTGTGGTCCCTGCCCTCAAGGGACTGACAATCTGGTTTGAGAAATAAACATGCAAAAAATAATCAGAAAACAATTGAGTGTTCACCTATGTGGTATTGAACACAAGTGAACTTGGAGTTTTATTTTTTTTTTTAATTTTTTTTTTTCAACGTTTATTTATTTTGGGACAGAGAGAGACAGAGCATGAACGGGCGAGGGGCAGAGAGAGAGGGAGACACAGAATCGGAAACAGGCTCCAGGCTCTGAGCCATAAGCCCAGAGCCTGACGCGGGGCTCGAACTCACGGACCGCGAGATCGTGACCTGGCTGAAGTCGGACGCTTAACCGACTGCGCCACCCAGGCGCCCCAACAAGTGAACTTGGAGTTTTAAAATAATCCAAGTGTCCAGAAGATTTTAGTTAAGAGGCAGGATTAAACTGAACCAAAGACTGGGTCAAATGAAGATGAGTGGGGAGAAGAAGACATTCCTAAGGAGTGCTAGCATAAGAGTGAAAAGGAGTAGACCCAGGTGAATGAGAGCATGACGTTATAGCAGAGATAGGCACTAAATTGTGGTAGAATGGTGAGGACCAGGCTTGACTGAGCAAAGGTGAACAATAAGGTCAGCGTGGGCAGGCATGATGGAGACTAATGTCCTCAAAAGCTGGACAGAAGATTCTGAAAGCCAAGTGCTAGTGTTCTTCAGCAGTGGCCCCCAGAAACAACCAGCATGGGTCTGTCAGATACACTGTGAGGCCTGTGGGCAGATTCAAATACAGACGCAGATGGCCACGGCAGCTTGGTGAGGTCCGGCTCGATTCCAAACTGCTAGGCTTATTAGCATGCTGACGGGCTGGGGCTTGCCGACATGTGCCTCAGAATATTCTCTAGAGGCTGGAATTTGTGGCCTGGGAAGTGCAGGGCTGATCTTCTAAGCAGCTGTTGTGTGTGGGATGCGACTGTGTACAGGATGTGATTGTGTGCACATTTGTCCAGATGTGGGTGTTAAGACCGTGGTCTTAAGCATGACGAAATTCAGTTGGCTGGAGGTGGAAGAACAAAGTCAAACTATAGCCTGTAACAATTCTTAATGTTTAGATTTCAAAAGCAACTTTCTAGCTTTAATTACAATTTCATAATAATGCTTGAAAATTTCCAAATAAAAAGCTTATGGATTAAGATGTCATCTCCTTTTGGAATTATTTCATCATAATTAAGAAGAACCTTTTGGGTATAAGGTTGGTAAAGTGGTTGCTCATCTGGTCTTCTTTTGATGAGGATGCTGAGATTTTTTAACTTTAAAAATTTTCCTGCTTTTTTGATTTTTTTTCCCTTTTTTTTGCTTTTTCTTTTGGCTCACCTGTAAGGAGAAGGAAAACAAGGGTAATGTTTCTTTATCTTACCATTTTTCCTTCTTTATATTATGTTTGGACTTTCCAGACTGTAGTTTTGTTTTGTTTTTAAGTCTTCAAACCTGGTTTAAAGTTGCTTCACTCTCAGAGGGGCTCCTTTTGCTTCTCTTTACATCACTGACTTTGAGCAGGAGGCCACAGCCTTGTAACTGATCTTCTTTTGTCTATTCTCTTGGCCTATTACTGCCTTTACTCTAATTCTGCTTACAACCCACCTGTCCAAACTACAACCTTCCGAGGCTGGTACTATTATCATCCACTTTTTACAGAGGAGGAGAGGGAGGCCTGGAGAGGGTGGCTTGCCCAAAGTTGCATAGCTAGTATGTGGCAGAACCACCAGACTGTCAGACTCCTGAAGCCAAGTTCCCAGCTACATATTCTGTGGCCCTCTTCAAATTTAACTCCTGAGCACATTACACAGGATTCTTCCCACTTTGTCCTGGTCTACTTTTCTACTTTTCACTCCCTTCATACAACTCCAGCCACATTACTTGAGGCTCCCCGAATACAGCAAGCTCTCTCATGGTCTATGCTTCTTTTTCATGCTGTCCTTACTCTCTTGGTGAACTACTTATTCTTCAAGACCCCAGTCATATGAAAAGTCTTCCTTAACACTTTCTCCCTGCCCCTCCTTCTGGCAAAATTAATTACCCCTTCTATAATCTTCAAGACTCTTGTACATATCTTTATTTCATATTTCTCACATTGTGCTATAACTGTTAGTGCATTTGCTACATCAGGGAGGGCTTATACTTTATTACCTTTCCATCCTCAGTGTCTACCTTTCAATTCAATACACATGTACTTCTAGTGGAGGAGACAGACAAGTGATACTACATGCAAAAATACAATTATACCTCACAGTGATGACATTATTCTAGGAACAAGATAGAAGCGCAATAACATAAATGAAAAACATACCCTTAAAGGAACCACATAAATTCTTTGTCTTCAAAAGTTAATTTCTAAAAGAAAGAAAACTTTGTTCCTCCTAGTCACTAACCTGTTTCTCCCACTCTTTAATCAATTCTTTCACATCTGCTGAATCTGGGTTTAGACACGTTTGATCCCCATTCTTCATTGTCACACTGCCAAGGAAATAGCAACAAGATTTATTTTACCTTCAATAATTTAAATTCCTCATCTTACTCTCAGAATGAAGTCCCCCAATTAGAATGTATTTGTGTTATCACAATAAACATCTGAGACTTCCAGTCTTCCTTCCTGCCTTTTCGTTTTCTTAGTGAGTGAGGGGACTTGGGCAAATTTCTAGGATAGCACACAGCCCTAAATTAAAAAAATCCAACTGATATATGCAATAAGAGAAACTTAAACTTATATGCAATGACAATATTAGTGCTGCTCTGTTGGAAATAGTTATTTATGTTTAAGTGAAGAAGCAAAATAGAAAAGCTGTCAATATAGCTACTTTTTTTTTGTAGAAACTGTGAAAATCAACATGAGTTATGCTAAATTTTCTAATGAAACTCCCTAAAACGTAAAATATTTTTCTGAAACACGATTAACAGACTGGTTGAATTTTTTAAATGACAGCAGACTCTCCAGGAACAATTAAAAATTTTTTTCTTTAATTTCTCTGTATAATCTGAGGGTACGAATACCTGTTCTATAGATCAGCCTTGATTTAGGTTTCAAAAGACTGAAACTAGTGATTCTAATCTATAGAAATGTTATTGAGTTTTTATTTAAATTCTAATTAACAGTGTACTATTAGTTTCAGGTGTGCAATATAGTGATTCAACACTTCCATATAACACCCCATGGAAAGTTATTATTAATAGGAAAGAACTAAAGACACAATACTGCCACAGTAACAGTTTGATTTCAATAGCAAAATATTGGAAATAATCTACATTTAAGCATTGCTCATATAAATTATGGTACATCCATAGGATGGAATATAATTTGGCCATTAACAATGACATTATCAGAAAAAATGGTATTATAGAAGATTTACCAACATGAGGAAATGTTCATGATATAGTGTTAATAAAAAGGCAGTCCATAAGAGTACGTACTGTATGATTTTATCTTTGTGTATGTATATGTATATATATGTGGCATCTATATATGCACACAAATGCAAAAAAGGGAAATTTGGAAGACAAGGGCAAGGAGTGACTAGCATTTATCACCGGTGGTAGAATTATAAATGATTTTTATTTTCTTCTTTTGGGTTATCTGCATTAAATATTTTCTACATGCTTGATAATATATTATCCTTGGTTCTAATCTCTACCAGAAGTTCCTTATTATTTAGAACTAAAAAAAGAAGTAGCTCAGATTTATGGAGGGGAAACCATCTGAATTTGAACAAGTGTTCTGAGGCTAATATTCACACTAAATTTAACGTTCCTGCCAATATGGTACATGTGTTTTGGATGAGTTGTTACTTACATGATTTCAGTTTTCTCACAAGAAGGGCTTGGGGCAAATTGTTTAAGGTCCTTTAAGGATTTTAGGTGGATTGTCCCTTGGCTGGTGTTGATGCAGAAACAGCGTCTATTCCTCATTATTAGGGTTCCTAAGGGAAAGAAGGTAGAGCACATTGATTTAAGGCAATGTCTCTATTTATTTATTTGTTTATTTAGAGCATGTGCTAGAGTGAGGGACAGAGGGAGAGAATCTTAAGCAGGTTGTACGCTCAAGTGGAGCCTGATGCAGGGCTCCATCCCATGACCTTAGGATCATGACCTGAGCTGAAACCAGGAGTCAGATGCTCAACAGACTGAGATACCCAGGCACCCCAAGGCAAAGTCTCAATTTAGGTGATCCATCAAAATGATACATTTGACTTAGTCATGATTATTACTGTCACATTAGTGTCTGTCTGTTGGGGAAAGTGATTAAAAAAAAAAAAAAGGTTACTGCTAATTGACCTATGAGCTGGACCTGGGCCCCAGGAGACTCCTCTTCCCCTCCCCTGTCCTTGGAATGTGGGTTCCTCTTGCTTTTCTGGCTCCCAGAGGCTTCTCCAAGCCAAGGACACAGCCTTGAGATAGTGATGTGATGTTGAAAATACCTGCATTGCATACATGACTAAGCCAAGTTAGGGCCTCTTTATAAGTTTTTAGGGGTTGGTGGGCACCCAAGACAAGCCTCCTATGTAAGTTCCCTTTGATATTATTACAACTGTAACCTACCAACTTGGAGTGGCCTGCCTCTTTTTTGATCTCTCCCTGCCCTCTGATTAAGGAGGCCCGTTTTAGATCACACCAGAAAGGCTCCCAAGCTGTGAACCCACACTGTTAATCATTTCCACAAACTCTGAAGGAGGTATTATCCTCATTTTATAGATAAAGAAGCTAAGGTTCAAAAAAGTTATGTAAAGAACACAGTAATTTAGCTTTTGGGGGCAGGAGCAGGAGCAGGATTTCAGTTTAGGTTTTTTTGAGTCCAAATGCATTGCTTTTAACTACCATATCTTACAACCTTAAGAAAGGAAATTAAAAAAATTTTTTTAATGTTTGTATTTGAGAGAGACAGAGAGACAGAACATAAGCGGGGCATGGGCAGAGACAGAAAGGGAGACACAGAATCTGAAGCAGGCTCCAGGCTTTGAGCTATCAGTACAGAGCCTGATGTGGGGCTTGGACTCATGAACTGTGAGATCATGACCTGAACTGAAGTTGGACACTTAACCAACTGAGCCACCCAGGCGCCCCTGGAGATTTTTGCAATATTTAACAAATGCCTATCACAGGTCAGACACACACATGATTCATGTGTGCTATATGGACCACAATTTCTTAAGCAACTCCCAAAGCCATTTATTACTGACATTAGGGGAATGGAGCTGGTTTTAGACAGAAAGCTATACTTATAATAACCAATTACAACCATCATCCTCATCCTCCCCACTGCCTTGCTTTTGATAGTGCTTTAAACCTTTAAAAACCCTTTTATATACACTATCTTCATTCCTTAATTCTTTCATTCATTCAACATATATTTACTCAGTGCTTACTATATGCCACACATCGAGTGGTAAGTAGTAAAAGCATGACTATAAATCTCCATTTTACAACTGAGGAAATTCAAGCCTAGAAAAGTTCATTAATTTGCCCAATGGTAGTTAGTAAACAGATTAGAGACCTGATTCTTGGACCCTTAATTGCTTAACCACAGACATACTTATCAAGAAACAGTATCAAGGGCTATAAAAAATGATTTAGGGGACAAACCTTTTGACCTCATTATCACCCCGTTCAACAGGCATGTATTGAACAGTTACTACATGTCAGGAATTCACACATCCAGACTGAGAAGATCAATGTTTGACTTAGCAGGTCTTAGAAATCAACTTTGTAGGGATGCCTGGGTGGCTCAGTAGGTTAAGCATCTGTCTCTGACTCAGGTCATGATCTCACGGTTTATGAGTTCGAGCCCCGCTCTGGGTGAGCCCAACTTCGTGTGAGCCCTGCTTCTCTCCTTCTCCCTCTCTCTGCCCTTCATGGGATTCTTGCGCTCTCTCTCTGCCTCTTGCTCACCTGCACCCCCTCCTCTCTCCCTCTCTCTCTCAGGAAAAAAAAAATCAACTTTGGACAATCAACTACATCACTGAGAACCTTTCATGAATGACTTATATCACTATCTGATGCATGTAATCAACTTTATTGGGCAAATCAAGAGACTTCAATAGCAATTTATATCTCTAACTTTACTAACCTAATATAACTCAGAACCCCTTACCTTGACCGCCAAGCAGAGTCAGGAAGATGATACTCAACAAAAGAGGAATACCACTTTTCTTCATAGTGATAGAATGGAGTTCTATTGAATCACTTCTGTATTGGATTTCAAGCCTGAGAATTTCTATAGAGAACACGCTCCTGGGAATCATATTTATTTGGGAAATCCAATTCTCTCCTAAACTCTGATTGGCTGGTATTTTTAGCTGATGTAGCTAAACTGACCACAAACTTAATTGTGCTGGGGGAAACCCTACTCTCATATCCAAGGGAATTTCTGCATGTTTTACTTCCATTTCACATAAATGGGTAGTTTATTATAAAGATATGAAACCAGCATCACCAGCAGCCTTTAGCAAAATCACAGCTACTCACCTGGGTGAAGAATAGGTTACATAATGAATATTACACAACAAGGGTTGGAGATGTGCTTTCCAGACAGAAAATACTAAAGTCCAGATAAATAATACACTTTCCAAATTTTCTTACTATTTATAATATCCTTCTGTATGGCTACATTTATTTTTTCTGTATTGTCTACCCACAGTCAGCATCTTAATATCCTTAGGGACCAGGTCATTTTCTACTGTGGCAAACTCATTTTTTTTTTTTTTTGTATCACTCCTGCTACAGTTTATTATTTTTTAAAATGGTTAGACTAGTTAGTATAGGGACCAGTTGAAAAAAGATAAATGGGACTACATCAAACTTAGAAACTTTTACAATCAAAGGAAACAATAGAGTAAAAAAGGAACCAATGGAATGAATTCAAATCACATTATCTGATAAGGAGTTAAGATCCAAATATATAAGGAACTTCTGTAACACAACAACAACAACAAAACTCCAATAACTGGTTTAAAAAGTGGGCAAAGACTTGAATAGACATTGCTGTAAAGAAAATATACAAAAGGCCCAAGCACATAAAAAGATGCTCAACATCACTAATTGTTAGGGAAATGCAAATCAAAACCACAGTGAAATATCACCTCAAACTCATCAGGATGCCACTATCAAAAACCAGAAAATAACAAGTGTTGGAAAGGATGTAGAGAAGTTGGAACTCCTGTACACGGTTGGTAGGAATATAAAATGGTGTAGCCATTACGGAAAAAAATATGGAGGTTTCTTAAAAAATGGAAAATGGAATTACCATTTGATCCAGCAATCCCACTTCTGGGAATATGTCCAAAAGAATCCATAGCAGGCTCTCAAAGAGATATTTGCACACCCATGTTCATCTTAGCATTATTTACAATACCCAAGAGGCAAAGCAACCCAAATGTCCGTTTACAGTTGAATGGATCAAGAAAATGTAGTATATATACATAATTATGTTGTCTTAAAAAAGGAAATCTTGTCACATGCTACAACATGGATGATCCTTGATATTATGCTAAGTGAAATAAGCCAGTCACAAAAGGACAATATTCATATGAAATATCTAAAGTCAAATCTTAGAAACAGAGAGTGGGAAGGTGGCTGCAAAGGGCTGGGGGAAAGGGTGAGGTGAAATTAGTCTTTAGTGGGTGAAGAGTTTCGGGGTTATAAGATTAAAAACTTCTAGAGATCAGTTGTACAACAATGTGAATACAGCTAAAGACTACTGAACTGTACACTTAGAAATGATTAAAATGGTAGATTTGATGTTATGTTTTTTTAACCATAATACTAAATTAAAAAAGGAACAAGGGATTAATTGCATATAATGGAGACCCAAATTAATAGTGACTAATACAGAAGTGTATTTCTCCCTGACAGAGGCAGGTGGACTAGGGCTTGTATGGTGGTTCTGCTGCATTAAGTCTCTCTGAGAGAGACTTATTTCTGAGAGTGAGAGAGAGAGAGAGAGAGAGAGAGAGAGAGAGAATGAGTAAGCATGAGCAGGGGAGGAGCAGAGAGAGGGAGACACAGAATCCAAAGCAGGCTTCAGGTTCTGAGCTGTCAGCACAGAGCCCCATGCGGGGCTTGAACTCACAAACTGCGAGCTCATGACCTGAGCCAAAGTTGGACGCTTAACCGACTGAGCCACCCAGGTGCCCCAACTCAGGCTCCTTCTATCATTTGCTTTATTATCATCTCTAGGTTCATGTCCCCAGTATATGTCTAGGTATGTGTTCATGTCTAGGTATATGGCTCAAAGGGGCTTGCCATGATGTCTACTTTCCAGGGACAGGATGGTGGTATGGCAGAAAAAGGGCATGTTTCTCATTTTCAGACCTATCTGGAAGTTTTACTCATCACTTTCCACGGGCCAGAACTTATTCATGTGGTCACACCTAGCTGCACAGGAAGTTAGGAAATGTGATCTGTATTTTGGTTGATCCACTAAAATTTGGAGGTTCCATTACTGCAAAAAAAACAGTTTTTTTAAGTTTTATTTTTTTAATGTTTATTTATTTTTGAGAGAGAACACAAGCAGGAGAGGGGCAGAGAGAGAGCTAGACAGAGAAACCAAAGCAAGCTCCAGGCTCTGAGCTGTTTGCACAGAGCCCGATGTGGGGCTTGAACTCACCAACTGTGAAATAATGACCTGAGCTGAAGTCGGACACTTAACCAACTGAGCCACCCAGGTGCCCCTAAAGTTTTAATTTAAAGCCCAGTAACATATAGTGTAATATTAGTTTCAGGTGTACAACATAGTGTCAACAATTCCATACAACACCTGGTGCTCATCACAAGTGCACTCCTTAATCCCCATCACCTATTCAACCCATCCCTCACTCACCTTCCTTCTGGTAACCATCAGTTTGGTCTCCATAGTTAAGAGTCTATTTCTTGATTTGCCTCTCTGTTTTTTTCCCCTTTGCTCATTTGTTTTGTTGTTTAAATTCCACATGAGTGAAATCATATGGTATTTTCTCTGACTTATTTCACTTAGCATAATACTCTCTGGCTCCATCCGTGTTGTTGCAAATGGCAAGATTTCATTTTTTTTAATGGCCAAATAATATTGCGTTGTCTATCTATACCTCATTGTCTTCATCCATTCATCAATCGATGGATATTTGGGCTCACAACATTTAACTTTTTTTTTTGTTATTGCCTCACCTGAGATTAAATTAAAACGAACCCTTAAAAAATAAGATTTTGTTGGGTAGGATTAAACTTGGCTGGGCCACTAAATATGTGTAACATCTAAAATTTTTTCAGTTCCCCCAAGGACCAATTTTTGTTCCCTTGAGGGTAATCTCCTTCCCCATCCCATCCCCAATGCGAATGCATGCTGTAGAATAATGGGGAACATATATTAGGATTTTCTGTAACATGGTGTGCATTTTTTGACCGATTTTTTGATGACTTTTAATGCAGAACTCTTTTCAAAGAAAACTTGTGGTGACCTTTGATACAGCTTATTCACTCGGTAATGCTTAATTCTGGTAATGACTGACCGTGCATAACGTAGAGCTGGGTTTAAGTCCCAGCTTTGCTACTTAATGACTGCAAAATACTTAACTTCTGCAAGCCTCTGTTCCCTCTGCTGATAAAACTATTACTGACCTCACAGGTTGTTAAAGTTAATGGCAACAATTCATTGTTAACCGCAAAGTACCACAAAGCTATAGATCATTCTTTCTAGCAAAGAAAAAGGAGACAAAAATTTCTTAGGATAAACAATAAGATCCAGCATGGTCGGCCCTTGCCCACCTTTCCAGACTCTGCCTGCAGGACTCTGCTCCCACACCCTTTCTTCCCTCCGTTCTTCAAAGGGACCATGCCTCTTACCCATCGCGCTGTTTTTGCTCTTGGCCTCTCTGCCTGGAATGCTGCGCCTGCGCTGCCTCGCTAGCCTAGTAGTAGTAACCTTACTCACCTTGGATATCCAGGATGGCATGAACTCTGGGAAGATTTCACTGACCCCCAGATTTGCTCAGGGTTCTTACAGATAATCTCACACCACCGAGTGCTGACATCGAAGGCAATGTCACCTTCACCAGAAATCCTATAGTCCAATCTCCTTCCGCCACAGGAACGAGGAAGGCTTTCGAGCATTCCCGTCCCACCACCGTGCCTGGCGCGCAGGACCTAGGGAATACAAGAGTGAACGAAGGCTCCCGGCCTGTCTCGACGCTGCGCGTGCGTGCGTGCGTGCGTGGCACTGTCTTGTTTCGCGGGAGTTGAGAGGGGGGAGGCGGGAGGCCAGACCAGGTGACCTCCCTAGAGGCTGAGGTGCGAGCACTGCGCATGCCCAGCCAGCCCGCTTCCAGAACTTTCAGTGGAGAGGCTACAGGCGCAGCTCGCTCCCGCCTGTGGTGCCCGTGCTGAGGCGGCTGGAGGAACGCATCGAGAGAAAGGTAGTGGCTGAGCTCCTTGGGAGTTCTCCTCTCTGCCCCGTATCCGGCCCACAGCCCCCCGACCCCGGAGGCCACGTTTCCTTGGGGGACGCCAGGAGCGGGGCCTGTTTTGCAGTTTGCACACGAGGCTTGGATTGACGCTGGAGGGATCAATGGCCTCCAAAGGGCTTGGTTATCGGGGCTGAGGCGGCCAGGTGAGGCTTGGGAGGGTCCTCCGACCATGGTTTGTAGCGACAGGGACAAGGCGTTTTGGACAAGAGAAAGGAGGTCCTAGGGTCAGGAGCCGCGGAAGGCCAGCCTTGTTTATATTACACAGAAGGGGCTAATTTACGCCACTAACAAGCCGGATGGGAGGGCTCGTGTGGAGGCCCCGCTGAGGGGTGGGACTGTACCCCACCAAGCACCTAGGGGTAGGGGTGGCACGTGGAAATGAAGGCTGACGCTGTCGCCCTCAGCCCAGGCCTGTGCTGTCGCCTTTCCGAAATTGCCTTGAAAGCTCTGAGAAAAAAAACCCCACTTTCCTGCCTGGGCAGAAGGACAGGGAAAATCCCAGCGAAGCGCTGTTTATGGCTAGAGAGGGCTTTTAGGAGAAACAGAAACTCAACAAGAGGATATTGCAGGCAGTTCTCACAGTCCTGGGAAAAGAGCCAAGGATTATCAGCGCAGTTGAAATCAACAGATAATTCCACTTTCCCTTTGGACGTGGTTTTAACCTGTTTTGCCCCCCAAAAATCCCCGACCCCCAAGGAACCAAATGCTCGGGTAACCTT